CTCGCCTTGTCTCTCTTATAGCGGCCAAAGCAGAGGCTGCCATTTCCCGCACTCTTGAAGTGGGCTCAGACATAATGGCGGCGACAGGAACACGTGTTGTTACAACAAGCCTACTGTCCCTACGTAGATCCTCGAGATATTCCGGACGGGGAGACTTCATTTTCGACATTTTGTTAAAATCTCGTTCCTATATAAGATATCTTATTTAGTAACGAGACTTTAATTATATAAGATATCTTATATAGCTATATGAGATATCTTATATATTATATAAGATATCTTATATAGAAAATTAAATGAGATATCTTATATACGATATAAGATATCTTATATATCATATAAGATATCTTATACAGCATCTCATTTAATTTCTATATAAGATATCTCATATAGTATATAAGATATCTTATATATTATATAAGATATCTCTATGAGATATCTCATATAATATATAAGATATCTTATATACGATATAAGATATCTTATATAGTATATAAGATATCTCATATGCTATATAAGATATCTTATATAATTCGATGAAATACAGGATCGACATTGCTCCTTGAATAAATGTTAAGTTGGCTTGCCATACTACTCACCTGTTTACATTTACGAGGGAGATGGTCTGTTGAAAAATATTACCTGCACGCGCATGGTCTATAGTTCATGGTTATTAAACAAATGCTATGATAAAGCAAATGTGTTAAAACCCTTAAATACTTACTAGAAAAACAAACCTTAAGACAACAGGAAAATAAGAAGAAGTTCTTCCGGTCTATAATTTACAACATTGAATTCCTTATTGCATTGCAAGATATGCTGGAGTTGTTTCCCTTTTGCCGAAATGTCATCAATATATCCAGTAATGTAGGGTGCTTTTGTTAAGTATTTCAGGCTTAACAACATATCATACATAATATATATATATATTCCTTATAAACAGCCCGCCCCAGCTTACTTTTGAAATAGGGTAATTTTTTTAAGTCGATGCACTTTCTCTTTTGCAACTGACAAGGTCTCTTCGCACCTGACGTGGTACATCTAGATCTGAAGCGTTATTTCCTGGTATTTCCCTGATCCAGGTCCATGTCCTGCTAAACTCTACCCGGTCTGACACAGGATGCCACCCTTATCAACTTTCCTAGCAGTGACTGTATCTGGTTTTATGAAACCGCCTTTACATCCAACCACAAGGCTAATAACTTCAGGATTTCCTGTACCCGAAACATAGGCACCTCAAGTCATTCTTGTAGTTGGCACCACTGCTTTCTCCCTTACACAGCTACTAAATACTCGTAAGCAGGGTTAGCATTGCCAGTTTCCTCTGCCCTTGCAAAATCATCCAAGTAACTTAAGATTTGATAATCTGTCTACATACATATGGACGATATTGCAGATGCCATCCTCTGTCAGATGCAAGGTGCTGATCGTAAGCCCATTGATAAGATACGGACCGATCCAGTTGTACCCCACAAGGTGCATATCAACGGAATCTATTGGGATTTGCATACTAGGCTATCTTAAGGTTCATCTTGAACAGCAAACAACCCTTCCCTTTCTCTGTTATAAGTGCTGCTAGATCATCTGCTCGAGGATACTGTATGCAATTTGAATATCTACTCCTAAGTAAATATCCTTCGGTGTATGAATTTTTTTAATCTCCCTTGTGAAGGATCAAATCTAAAATTATTATGCGCTCACCTGTATCCCCTTTGGGGACAGACTTTAGGTGTAACATATGCTAAGTGGCGTTAAAATGACTACACTTGAACGGCCCTAAAATTGCACGCTTTTCTAGTTTCCCTGAAATGCTCTCATCTGTCTGATTTGGGAATTTCCTAGCTCCTGTATGGTTTCGCTGACCCCTTTTCCTTCCCTTTTTAGGGTCCCCTGTCTGCACTCGTCTTCAGGAACTGATAATATATGTTTTTTTCTCATCGATCTGGTTTTTTAACTGTATCCTCCCAAAATGTCCAAACTATATTTATCATCTTCTTAATTGTTTGCCATACAAGTTTGTGACCAGGTGAGACATTTATCAACGTTACAAGGGAGTGTTTTAATGTTCTCATAGAAATTTACAACCACAACAATAGTAGGAAGTGGTATGTCTATTAAATATTCGCCGTCCCCACCTGTGCATCCAGTTATGTGTCTTGAAGTTTTGTTAACGAATTTGTTCATGATTCATTATGTTCTATCAAAATGTTAGAAAGTATCACTTAGATTTAACAATTACATTATATCATGCAGCCATTTTGATATAGCTATGTTCATTATAGTAAAGGGATAAATAAATAAATAAAATAAATAGAAGGACAATGTCACTTCTGCGTAGAAATTTATTCTCATACATGGTTGACAACATCAGATAACACGTTAAGATTTTTTTCTTTTTAAATAAAAACTTTATTTCTTTGACAACAATTATGAAACTTGTTATGTTAAATCATATTAATGTCTTGTCGGCCCAGACTATGAAGATCCCCGCCCCCNTTCATCCATGACGGTATGCGATATAGTTCCATTCAAACACATTCCATGTACCGCGGTAGCGCATCTTAGAGATACCCATTAGGAGCTAGGTGAGGATTGCGTTAAAGCCCTTCGTGTCCTCCTCTGTCGCTAAGAGGCAATGTCGAATGGTCGTTTCGGCCTCCAACTGTTCTCGCGAAGTAGCTGTACTCATATTGCTTTCCTGTCAAACCGAGCCATACCACTACAAAGAGATGGTTGGACGTTTATTGGTTTTCCAGTTTTAAGTAGTGTTCATTAGTTTATATTTACATTTTCAATGTAAGTTCTTTTATAAGCATAGCCGTAAGAAATTGCGTTCATAGAGCTATGAACGCAATTTGATCAGCGTAATTTTGAATTTTCTCCTCCGGCCTCGAATTACGTGAGACAACCGTTAGAAGCAAACAGTTTTGGTGACGTTAGGCTGTTACTGGAATCTCGTTTGCACAGACGACTCAGACACTTTGATATCGAAAATATAAGCCGAAGGGAATATTTATATTTGGATCAATAATAACTATAAAATTTGGAATGTAAATATATGTATTGAACATCATATTTCAATGTTCATGCCGGTATGAAGGCAAATCGTCTTTAAGGAGACAGATTAACATAAGTACTTTGTACTTATTTTCGAATCCTATATGTACTAGTATATCATGTTTGTATTTCTGGAATATTATACTGATAATAAAAAATTAAATTTAAACTAAATCGTCTACATACATCGGGCTTCAATGAATATGTATGTAACCGATTTGCGCTCTCATGAACGTAGAAAAAAATGACGTTTAATCATTATTTGTGCTAGCTTATGAAATTTTATAGAATTGTAATATCAACGTATTCTGTGTGTTGTTTAATACCCGAAATTTAATGTAAAGGGCCTACTAGAAACACACACATATATATAACTGTTTATACGTGTTTTCTTATATATATAAATTTCAGATTAAAATAAAATGTCTATATTTTTTGTTTATAGATAAATGATTTCGAATTTTTCAATAAATTATGAGAAACTGGAACAAATTACATAATATAAACTGGCTAGCAGCCCTTTAATTTGTTTTTCTTAGAAGAATTTTCCAGATGCATTTTACTAATCTGCTAATAGCTTATCTCCCCCTAGTTAGAAACTGAGGCTAGAATCGGACATGAAAGTAATCAAAATGATTCAAGTCTAATATGGATATGAATAATTAAATATTGTTAGAAACGGGGGTCAGCCACCGTCTAAACATCATGTATAGCTTCACCGAGAATAGGACAATATTGTTCAATCATTCCGGATATTTTTATATGCTGTTTTTTATTTTAGCTTTCATATTTAATTTCCGCACTTTTCGGCGTTCGGTGTGATGACATAAACTTCAAGAAAACGGTCTACGGTCGTATGCCAGGGTGAAAATGAAGGGTTTGAGATCGACATGGCGTGATTTGATTGAATAGAATCTGTCTGACCAGGTATGAATCGATTATACCACGAAATATGCTGGTGTATTTATTGGAAAACTTGATAGCCTAACTCGGTGTTATCCACTTTGACTTTATCAAATTATCTTGGTTGGAATCAGATCGTCAGCAACACATTGTTCTCTCGTATACGTCCAAAATTAAACTATTTCTTCTTTTGATTAACAACTGAAAGGGGATGCAATCACAATTATTGCATTTGCGATACTAGTTACCGCTTTAGATAAGATTAACTGAATAAATCGAGTACTGTCACTGTAGAGACACAAATATTTTAACGAGTTACTTCCCTTAAACCACCACACAGGTGCTTGCATGAATGAAAGGGTTATTTTGGTGATTATGATATCGATATGATTAAAGATTTGTCTTCCACCAACCCAGTCTGACCATGCTTTTTTTCTCTCCTGTTACATAATCAGAGACTGTATATATTATCTTTTTATAGGATTGGTTAAATAGAAAACAAAAACCTATGGAAAAGGTAAAAAAATAAATTATTTGATTTATGCATACAGCTACTTCTTGTTATCCTCTCAGACATGGATAATTTGCTTGCAGGCTAGAAGACATGCTTATTATTCAGACATATGTTAAATCTGTTTGCAGGTTAGGAAGGCCTGCAAATGTACCTTAGGAGAAGACTTGAAATAAGACAACATTCTATCTGAATATCTAAGAAGCTGTAGGTAGCAATGGAAGGTATGGAGTTAATACACCTGAATGTTGGTGGGGTCATGTACACAACCACCAAAGCTACCCTATGTAAGTATCGGGACTCTATGTTGGGGGCCATGTTCATTGGCAGCATGAGGTCTGCCACTGATCAAAACGATTGTCCTTTCATTGACAGAGATGGAGAAATGTTCAAGTACATCCTCAACTTCCTGCGTTCATCAAAACTGAGTCTTCCCGATGACTTCAAAGACTTTGACTTACTTGCTGTAGAGGCTGATTTCTATCAGATACAGCCTCTAATTGATGCCCTCAGTATGTTGAGAGATGAACGCCAAAGAGACGATCTCAAGACTCACTTTTTCGTGGAAGTGATCGAGGTACGGACTGGCACCACTGCCACCATGCCTTCAAACAACTCCAGGGTGAAGACAGTTCTTGCTGGAAGGAAAGATGTCATCCTTTCTCTGCCTTCGGAACTAGTTGGTGAAGGAGCCTCGGAAAAATTACAGAAGAATGAAGGATTTGACTATGTTGAGCTTCAGCTCAACGGTGCTAATGTTAGACTCCGACTTGCAGAAACATTACGTAACGGTGGATGGCATATTGTGGATACGAATCTTTCATCGTCCTCTAGTCTCGTCACGTCATTCACAGGAAACACGCTGTTTATAGAGCAATCCTACCGAGACCGATGGAGGTTGACCTTGCCAAAAATAAAGAAGCTTGCAACATACATGTAGAATTTTGTCTTTTTACTAACACATAGCATTAATAGGAAGAACAAATTATTAATACTTCTGTTATGAATTAAATCAATTTCCTTGAACAGATGAAACCATAAAAGTAAAAGCTTTAAATTCAATGTAAAATTCAATATAAAGTCCATTAAGTTCTTTTATTACTGAGAATGAAACTAAAAAGGATTTAATCTTAAAATTTCACAGAAATCTGCGAGGACAACCTTAACAAGATATCTGCTATGGTCATCACGAGACTGTAAAAATGGCCCTTTTAATTGTGTAATGAAAACATTGTTTAATTAAAGTAGTATTCAATAGTGCAAACTTATAAACTTTCAAAGTATGTAGTGGTATAAAAGATTTAAAGAGTTCAATTTTGAAATTTTTGAACATTTGAAATTTGCTTTCATAATAAGTGGTACTGTTCCACTGATTTCCTGAAATTGAAATATTTATCCAAAGCATTCACAGTACAACCATCGCCCCCATTCCAAATTAAATTCCCTTTGTCTTAATTTATTCTCTTAGCTTAGATGTTTGACGTTTATTTTTTTGTTTTAGAATATATTTTGTTTTTCAGATTTTGAGATTTTTTGTTTTTCAGATTTTGATTTGTTGTCAATAGTGTTATTTATGACATGGTTTATTTTTATGACCAGATATTATACAGTGTATAGCTATATACATATTGTGTATAGATTTGCATGTTGGGTGTTTTTTACAGATCACTTGAATTGGCTGATGGGGTTTACATTCAAGTTTAGTCATTTTGTTGAATTTTATTTTTTTTATTGCATGTGCACTTATTTATTTTTTCACCCATTGCCTGCTTGCCAATGTACATATACCATCATAGAACATTTAGTTCCCCTGCACCATAAATACCACTGATTAAAAATCAAAATGACGTTGTGTGATTCTATATATTTTAGAAGTATTTGTTGTATCATAGCTAAAACAATATATTGTACATTGTATTTCCTTAAGTAATATTACTCCACTTGACATTTATATATAATCATGTTCCTCGCTTGAAACAAGGGAAGGATGGGGATTTATATTTTTCGTGTGTCTGTCTGTCTGTTATAGTTGTTTCCGGACCATACTTCCTTCCAATTTTCATGCAAGTTGACAAAACTAAATGTGTCACACACTAAAAATAGGTCATTACAGTGGCCACTAATGAACACGAAGAAAATTCAGTTTCAGGCTATGGATTCTTCACCTTTTCTTGCAATTTTAAAAGCTTAAATCTCACTAGATATTACATTTTTTGGCTAATGTGTGTCTCACTGTTAAACTACCATATCTAACAGTGACCTATATTTTGTTCCTCGAAATATAGTAATTCAGATTATTTATAGGCTAAAGTTTCTTAATCTTTTCAGGCTTGTGCACAAGACTGCATGTGCTGTTACATCTAGGGGTTGTCGGTGAAGATATGTTATTTACCATAGCAAAGTCACAATGACCTACATTTTCAACTCAATTAATCATGGACAATGAATGTGATTAATTTGTGGGCAATCATTTCTTTTAACTTTTCATGAAGGTTCACTAAACTTCATATGCTGTTAATCTATTGGTGAGGGTTTATTGCTTACCATAATCAGGTCACAGTGACCTACATTTTCCACGCCACCGAACAATTACCGGTAATGAAATTGGGGCCATAATGCCTTGACATGTAGTGAAGATTGGCCATACTGGATGTGCTGTTACATCCATAATGGATTCATTACATCACTTGGTCAAGATGACCTTTATTTTCCACTTTACTAAACAGGAAATGTAAAAGAAAAATTTTGGGCCGCAATTTTTTGTCTTCATGGATCTGACGTTAACCAACCTTGATGTGCTGTAATACAGGGTGTAATCTTGGTGACCTATGTTTTCTGCTCAATTAACCCTTTCACCACTGTAGACCATAATGGACTCATCCATATCAATGCATGGTAGAGTCTACTGAAGTTACATAGGGGTGAATATTTTCTACACTGTTTAAACATACCCTAGGTTGTAACCACTTGGTTGCATTTTCACCTAGCTCTTTCAACCCAATAACGTACATCACTGTACCTTTTATACTTGTGTAAATTTCCGTGACTTTTCGGCTCCATCGCTGTGACCTCTACATTCTCACGAGTAAGTGCAGCCGAAACTTTTATGTTAGTTTTAGATCAATTTTACAGATAGGTGCATGCAGATCCGTAAATAAATCCTTTTTTATGTATGGGAATCCTCCAGGAACACATCCTTTAATGTTTTTACATGGGTTTATCACTACTTAATTACCTGTTCCGTCTGTAGATAAGTAATGCATGTTCCCATCAGAAACCAATGATGTATGATGTACCTTTTGCACGCTTTATTTGTGTCAAAGTTAATGATAGCTTTGATATTTGTAGTAACCTAAGCAAGCAGCTATTACGCTTATATCAAAGCCATCCATGCATGTTTATTTCACCCCACCCATGATTAACTCATTCACCCCTGAGATTTCATCATGAACTATTCCAACCTTTGAATTGGAAGAGTTCAAGTGTGTCTTTAGGGGTGAATGAGTTAATAGTTAATTGCGTACTCTGCAGTCTTATCCCAGCAAGCCACAAATTTCCTTATTTTTTTTGTCCAAAATAGAATCTTGACTTCGGATATGTCGTTACACAGCACATAATTATGAGGTCATTATATCAACAAAGTTCTTAGCTACTAGCCATGATTTTGAGAAATATTTAACTGTATCACATAAACATGAGCTACTTTCGCTTACCTTTGTGTAAATGTCATCAACACTGATATACATGAAAGGATGGATGCACAGTTTTGTCAAAACTTATAATTTATCTTTTTAGTTATAGTGCAGTGCTACTGTAATGTACTTATTAAGATGTAAATATTGTGCTGCCCCTTGTGCTGCTTATTGAGATGTATACTTTCTTTTTAGCTGCCCATTTTCGGGCATATTTGTAATATGTAAAATTATGTTCTAATTCTCACATTGAGTATATCAGAGTTATTTTTTGGACAAAAAGTACAATGAGTATTTGGAAACCCACTGGTTAAGATAAACCCGGGCTAATATAAGTCCTTTTACAGTATTCACACACATGATTTATATATTTATATCATGCAATGTTGGTGTTGGCCGCTGTATTATTGCTGAATATTCCCCCAGCTTACTGTTTTCTGAATGTTCTTAGCTTACTTCATATTTCCTGAGTATATCTTAGTTGCTATATATAAACATTTCTCCCATAACGACTCAATATTTCTCCACTCCCGAGGCAATGGATAAACGTTCAAGGAGTCGGTAAAAACTTCATATTACCCAAATCTTGACACGATTTGATTGGCTAGTCTTTTAATGATGGCATCATACATGTAATAATGTTTTGCGCCAGCATCTTTCATTATGACATCATGATCCATGGAAATTAACTGTTTCCCCCATGGGTAACAGTACCAATATATTTTCAATGGAAACATATGGTTTTCCAGATATAGTATGAATGTTATGGGAGAAAAAGGTCCCCAAATTCGGGATGGATGGTTATCATATTTATCTAACTCTCGTTAGTTGATTATCAAATTGTAAAAATACACCCAGTAACCCTTGTGTATTTATACACATTGAAAATTAAATAAAGATAGTTAGATGAATATCATAACCATGCACTTCTCATCGGGGAAACCATGTAATATTTTTATCCTTCACTGCTGTCAAAGGGTTCTTTCTGTTTATGCATGTTATGGTGAACGTTAGCCGTGAGACATATATGGTTTTATTGCAATGGAACTTTAACAGTTTCACATAAAAAATTACACAATTATTGCATATTGCATGATCAAAACCTAACATGTTATATAAGACTGGGTATTTTTTGCAGCTCATAGGATAAAAAAAATAAAAAAATATTCTTAATTTGTGAAGATTTTGTATGCAAGGGTGACCTTGAAATTGTAAAACCTAATTTGCTATCCTGTAAAGCTATATCATAAGTGAAACTTGCTATGCTGTAAAACACCATATTGTTTGTGATATTAGATTTCCTATGCTGTGGAACCATATTCTAAGTTAACCCTTTCACCACTTTAGACCATAATGGACTCATCCATATCAATGCATGGTAGAGTCTACTAAACTTACTTAGGGGTGAAAGGGTTGAAGATTTTTTCTTTTTTTTTTTCACAGGGCTGATTATTGTCTCTAATCAGATATTGAGTTAGTACTAACCATGTTTAGATAGGTCATACAGTAAAACCCTTTTAATCAGAGAAAAAGCTTACATGTTTTGTTTCTTTGTTCAAAATATATACATGTACCTCTTGCATGACTTGCGTCTTGTTTTTTCTCTTTATTATTTTCTCTTTATTTATTCCACAACACTGTAGTCGACACAGTAAACACACCATTAGAAGGAGTATATTATTGAATTTCTTCAATAACGACTCAAATATTCCTGAAAAGCTGTCTTTTCTTGACATATTTATAACAGGTTTCATTGTGTTGTCACACATTACAAACAATTAAAAATAAACTATCACAATGCGTAAAAAATGAAATGCGCTAAAATGAAAAACAAAACCCAAACCTAGAATAAAAATATATGACAGCTTTTCAGGTCAAAGGTTTAGAAAATTGATATATTTATATTTGTGTTATATAACATAAGTGTTGTGTTTATTTGGTCGAATACAGTATGAAAATCTCTCGTGTTTCTCTGAAAATGCTTTTAGTTGACAGAGAACAGTTGTTCTTAAATGTTAGCATGACGCATGTGTATATTAGAACCATGCTAGCATAAGCTATACTTTGCTGATCCTAGCGCAAGCACGTGATCACAGACTTATACAATCATTCCTTTTATTAGTTGTTGTCACATTTTCATTTTTTTCTTGAAATGTTTTATTTAGAACGCATTTGTGATATGATATTGGATTCTTCTTGAGCTATTTAGTGTACTCGAATGTAGTCCAGTACCCAATAATTGTATAAAAATATTCCAAGTTCACCCCGATCCCCTTCAATTCTT